GAATACATTTGTATTTATTAATTTTAAATCTACTTATTAGTTTTTTAAATCTTTGCTCGTTATGGCATGTCATAAATGGTCAATAATCAATATGTATCTTATTTGTAGTAGGACTCAAAATTCTTTACTTGTCAGAACCTGTAAACCTGTAATATCTGTAATAATTGTGCTTATGCTATGTTAATTTTAAAACATGCCCAGTGGCTTCAATAACTGGGTAACGCCAGGTTGTGCAAATTGGACAAGGATACAAACGAGTATAAAGTCTGAAAGTATAACGTTTTATTCATAAACCTGATTATTAGAGACAAACGAACTGCCGAATTATTAGGCTATAAGCTTGATGTTTCTATTAAAGCAGCCGAGGTAGACAAATCAAAAATACTAGAGAGTAAAAAAAGTACTACAATCTCGAAAACGAACTAGAAATCTTTCAGGATACTGGTGAAAAACGCATAATATTTGTCTTCTCTTAAATGCATTAAAGAATTCCACTCACATCAATTGAATCGGAAAGGGCATTCTCGGTAGCAAGACTTTTCATTACTAAAATAAGAATCAGATTGAGTGATCAGAGTATTGACCATCTTTGTTTTTTTAAAATCTTATTATAAAAATTTACAATAATGAAAATTACCTTCTAAGTTAGAAGTTTTTTTCTAAGTTCATTTTTTTTTTAATTTTCAACTCAATTTAAAGCATTTTTTGTCGTTGTTGTATGCAGTTTCCAACAAACTTTAATAAATTTTTTCTATCTGTGAAAATTTCTACAAAGGTAATTTTCAATATTCGAAGGTAATTTTTCAAGGTAATTGTATTTATAAATAATTGGTTTCTTCAAGGTAACGATTCAAAGGTAATTTTTAATATATATTTTACACGGCATTATTAACATGATTTTGGAGATTGCAGAACGTATTAAATTTCTTTAAAAAATGAAAAATAATTATATCATTTGATTTCAAGATATTTTTTATATCTTAAAAATAATTTTCTTCTATTTGTGAAAATTTCTACGTAATTCAAAGATAATCTNCATGTGGCTCGCGAGCCGCAGGTTGGCCACCCCTGAAATATATCATTCTCAACAGTACATCTAACCTGAAATGCTGAATTGATGGATTAATTTATGTAACAAGAGGTACTACAGTACCAGTGAGTTATTTGCAATATAAGTCTATTTTAAAAATAATTAATTTTATTCCGAGATTTTCCGGGATCCCGGAAAATAGTTCACTTTTTTCCCGAAATCCCGGGACAAGCAAAATACCGGGAAATGAGAAACCCTGGTTTCGAGTATAATGTGTATGTAAATCTATACAATAAATCACATACTTGCATTGTTTGTCTGAGTCCCTTTCATTTAAAGGAAGCGAATGTTAAAATGGAATATTGAAGAAACCCCGAGGTTATTACTTAATTCACTTCAAATATTATCGATCTTTAATTACCTTAAAGTAGAAGTACAGTAGTCAATAAAAAATCTAGATGTTCGTTTAAATTGATTATTGGATTGTTTGTATCTTATCGTTAAATATCGTGTGTAATACCAATTGCTGCTATGAGTGATTTTCATCATCACTTTAATCTTTCTTCGATCGAAAATTCATGTTTAAAATGTTGTATTTACTGCAGAGCAGTCACGTTATAAAGCTAATTTAGCCTTAATTGTGCCCATTATGGATATAGCTGCTCTGCAATAAATGCATTTTAAACATGAAAAGTAATGAATTAATGGCCGTTAAGATATTTATAATGATTCGTGAAGAATGATTTTTCGATTTAAAAATAAATTTGTGTGGTTTATAGGAGGAAAAGTGAGTTTTTCGACCATCTGGAATTTATCCTGGGTTTATTATAATGGTAGACTGCCATCTTAACCGCTTGGCCATTCGGCCAGGCGAAACAATGTGTGTACTTTTGGAATCAATGTACTTTTGGAATCAAACTAATCCAAGATTACTCTGATCGTTCAAATAGTGTATACAAACGAACTATACCGATTTGATCAATCGCTGTTCGCGTGTACAAACGCCATCTGGGATCAACTGGATTACGATCAAACTTATCCGAGCGGAGGTTTGGATCGTTTGGATCGGATAAAAAAGAAAAAGATTAAAGATGAGGACCTCCATAGTTAAAATCAGGTTCTTAATTAATCGACAGCAAAGTGTGTGTTTAACTGTCGATAATAAAAATTATTTAAAACTCATAAATGGCAAATAAAAAAATTATTATTAAAATATCCGATAAACCGAGATGAAAAAATAAGTATTAAGAGAGAATTTTGCGGGATTGTACGGCAAGAATGTGTGGCTTGCACACACTCATTTTGCTGATATGTGAGAATTTTTTTCGGAGTAGGTCTAAATACGATTCAATCTTACTTGTATACTCTATCCTCTAACTAAAACACGACAGAAACGATCTGTATCACGTGAGACTGATCCGATCTTGCAGATCGATCCATCCGAGACAAAAAGTATATGCAGCGGCGGCCTTATCCATTGCGAGGCTCTGGGCGGCAGATCTTTGCGAGGCCCTTGTTCTTTGTGCAAAGTATGTGAATTGAATTAGTAGGCACTTATTAATATTAATATATACTGTACTATAAATTAAATTTATTTTATTGTTATAACTAATAGCCAAGGATAAAATAAAAAGTTTTAAATATCAACTTTTTTCTACTTGGTTGTTGCGCGAGGCCCCTCCAAGAGCGAGGCCCCGGGCCATTGCCCTGCTCGCCACCCCCTAAGGCCTCCACTGAGTATATGCAATGATTTTCCGTTCTAATCACCGAGTGAGAAGTCTCCTTTTCGACCGCTTACTTTTTGGGGTGGAAGCAACGATGCCATATATAATTTTTCTTTCTTAGTTACAGAGCAGCCATGAACAACTCTTTCTGGATGCGTGCCGCAAGTGATCTTCACAGGCATTTGGCAGGCCTCATATATTTTTTTTTTCTCACGGTATTGCAGGTTTATCGGAGGTTATGGAATACGTTGATACTCAGCCTGCTGAGTATCAACGTATTCCATAACCTCCGATACAATAAGTTCTAAAATAATACATGCTAATCAGCGGCGCCCATAGACTATAAAAAAAGAGGGACAGAAGCTATAGAAAAGGGCATCGTACATTATGCAAGAAGCTTCAAACTGATTCAACGTCGGATCAGTGTTCCCATAAGGTGGCGCTGATTGCAATCGGAGCTTACTTGGCTTTGAAACCAAGGAGCATTTCTTGTTTTCAAAGCCTAGTTGTTTGTTAATAACCGAATTTGGAGCTCCCTTGGGATTGGAAAAAGGGAAAAACCCAGACGAAAAGGGGAAGAAACGTGCCATAATGCATGGGGCGCCCATACATTGGAGCACGTCCCTAATGTGGCTTAATGCATAGTAGTAATATCGGGTTCGTTCTCATCTTTTCATTGGTCGTGTTGTTAATATGGGGTCATTTCGGGTTGCATAGTGGCACGAGGCAGAAAACGAAAATAAAATTGAGTTGCCGAATTCCCGAGACCACATATTAGGCTCTGCGGACCGAGGGATGCTCTTAACTGATGTAATAAAGTCACTAATTTTAAGTAAAAATAAAATTCATGGCCAACGTTATTTACATTTAATACATAAAAATATAAATACGACTTTTAAACAAAGTTAAAAACTTTGTGTCTGTCCTTCCTTTTCGCCGTTTTTCACCATCAGCAATCCTTTAAAAAAGTTCACAAAATTACGGAGACGACCTTTCCTTTGAGGCTACTACCTCCGCAAGAAAACGGCGAAAAGGAAGGACAGACACAAAGTTTTTAACTTTGTTTAAAAGTCGTATTTATATTTTTATGTATTAAAAGTCACTAATATTAATTAAAGTTGGAAAAGGATATGTCTATTATATTAATTACAAATTATGACGACAAATACAGAATATTTACATATATAATTAACGTACAACTATAAAAAATTAGCATTTAGTAAATATGCCAACGTAACGCGTGTCCTGATGACTGATCCTGACATAATTAGATAACCGACTCTCTAGCGGTCGGTTGTCGTTCGATTTGATCGGTTTCAGTACAGGCTTGCGCGTCACTAATGTTAAATTAACTAGCCGAATTTGAATGCGATTTGAATTCGAACAGTTGCTTAAATCCGACTGAAAAAATAGAAAATGTTATCAGTGAAGTTTCACTTTCAATTGACTGGTGAATACCAAAAGTTGTTCAAATCGAGGTAACGAAATTTCCTGTCAGTCCGTGTAGTACAATGGACTCTCACAATCCGGACTCTCCCTTATCCGGACTGATCAGAGGCAACTAAAAATTTTCGAAAATATTGTACACTACTACGAAACTTACCTTTCCATATTGTGGTGTATACATTTTAAAATTTTGTTTGTTTATTAAGGTTGCATTGAAATTGATAGAAAAGCACAATGCATCAACCACCGCTGATGTGATAATGATGAGGTATTTGGTGTGATGTAGCAGGTCGTCGGCCAATAGCGAAGAGCAAAACAAACAACTTTAACAATATTTTGAAAATTAGTTATAATTGTAAAAAATAAGCGTCAAAGTCAAAATAAATTATAGTGGGCATGGATGTTGGTTTAATCCACAAATTCTCTCTCTCTCATCCGGATCGCTCCCGCCCACGTTAGTTCGGATATGGGAGAGTCTATAAAAACGTATTGTAAGAACCAGAATTTGATATTAGAGATCGTCTCTATTGGTTTAAAAAAAGCTTTAATGTAATATAGCCAGCGGTCATACACCGTTTTAAATACCTGTTCTTATTAGAACACCGATAAAAAGATTACCCCCGTTAATACTTGAAAGTGTGACCATTTGGAGAAAATATAAGTACTGCTGCCCGTATTTAAATCATTATTTTGTGTTCTGAATGAGAAGTACAGTATCTAGATTGTTCGTTCGTAATTAAACACAATACTTATTAGTTTATACCTGATTATAGAAACTTAAAATTTATTTTTAATTAAAGGTACAAGATCAACAGGAGCAGCTGGACCTATCTTTCCTGCAAACGTTACTCCATAAAGTTAAAAGTCCCCCTATTACTAAACTAGAAGTAAACGTAAGTACAAATAGAGCATTTTTAGAATTAAAATTGACGTGTACAAATGTAGAATTATATTTACATTGATGAAGACAAAATACATTTTTTAACAATGTGTTAACAGTCCAAAATAGGTAAAAACCTATAACGTATCGTGGGCACTATGAGTTATGTCATAGTTATAAGTTACAAGTTTTTGCCTATTTTGGGCTATTATAAGTTACGTCATCGTTTTCCATTCTTCACCATGTTCGACCCCATTGCGGGTCAGACCCGCATATTGAGCGTAATCGTAGTCGGTTATATACAGAGTATTTTGCGATGTAGTGACAAATTTTACCGTGTGTTCTAAAGGTCTATGGGAATTCAAAAATGTCCTGCGAACGTAGCCCTTTAAACGCTGGAAGAGGTTAAAGTTCAGACTAGGTGCCGCTTGAAATGCTGGTTTGCAGCGTCTAATAAGTGCTGCGGGAAAGCCTCGATCTTGCTGCCTTTCAGCTTCTCACATTCAGAAGCTTACGTTTTTGCAAAATTTGTGAGGTTCTCTCGCATTTCATGACTCTTTAGTGCTGCACGGAAGCTGAAGAGCAGCAGATTGAAACTCCTCCGGCATCTTAATCAGTGCAACAGAGCGGCATCTTAAGGTGTAGCTCAGTGCCGGCCCGAGGCAAGTTTTAGGATGGAACGAGATCTTATTATGGCACCCGGGGGTGGAACCCCGCCCACGCAGTTGACCCACGCGCGTCTCAACAGATAACGCCATTCACATACTGACCAGACGCTTGCAATTAAAATATCGAAAAGTGAAAAAAATATTTTTTTCTTTAATTTTCTTTACCACTGAGGCTCCCCCTAGGACTTAGCGCCTGGAGCGGCTGCTCCGTTTGCCCTATGTTAGGGCCGGCTCTGCTAGTCTGAACTTTAACCCCTTCTAGCGTTGAAACAAGGCGTTTGAAGGGCTATGTTTACAGGACATGTTTTAGATTCTTATAACACTCTGTAAAACATTGCTACCACCCCCAAAACACCCTGTATCATTTAATTTTGAATTTCTACATTCTTAAAACTCCACTAAACGCTAATCGTGGGTTCGTGAAAAAAACGGAATATGCCGGAAGAAAAATCCATGTGGCCAGCCGGCCACACGGAATTTTCTTCACGTTATTAACACCTGAATACGGACTTGTTTCCCATAGAAATACTCCGGGAGGCATCTCTTACATATAGATCGTCCACGTATCGCGTTGGTATAAAAACCAACGTATTCAATATGTATATAAACTGAAAACTGTGTTATAGATAATACTTCGCCTTTCGGAATATATTATCTTCTAAGAAAAAACATCGTTTTTAGTTCTAAATTTAAAATATCTTAATGTAAAATTAGGGAGTGAAGATATGTATTACAATTAACCTCATATATCATTGTTGTCGATGAATTCAACTGATACGGATTTTTATGGAAGACATAATTACTCTGGCGACATATTTAAACCCTTAATCAATATCCCCCGCCGGTTTTATTGATGATAGGTCGCGCAATATTTGTTCTAGATGTTATGTTTGTCACATGTAATATTCCCTCTCCCGTTGATGTAAATTTGACTTTGCCTACGGTAATTCCAAAAGCTTTGTAATAGTGAAAGGCTTCGTATAAGCGAATAAAATGCAAGAAATAACAAATAAATTCTTTTTATATATAGTATTTTGGATATGATTGATAAAAAGAATACGAGACTAATTAATACAGTACAGTAGATTCTCGTTAATTCGAACCCGTATAATTCGAATTTCCTTCTAATTCGAACTGGATGCTTTTCCCATTTAAATCAATGTAAGTTTCTTTCGGTAATTCGAACTCGACTGCGTTGCTTCTCCTCCTCCTCTTTCTTCGAATTAACAGCGCATGTTTACTAGATTAACATCATCATCCCATTTATGAAATTTAAAGATCAAATTCAAAATCAATAAATTAATTAAAAAATAAATAATTTTAATTTATCAATTTAAAATTAAAAATAATTTTTCTTCTGTATCATTCAGAAATGGTGTCCTTTTAATTCGAACCGTTTTAAGGTCGTTTGAATTAACGAGAGACTGCCGAGTAGTGATTTATCTATTGCAGACTTTTATCGATTTGAAATTTAAAAGAATTTAATAAAAAAAAAATATATAAGACTGTATTTATCTACTGTAATTATCTATCAATAATTTAGGATTATTTTGAGCAAAATTTTATGAATTTAACTCTGTAGAAACCATTTAGTGCATGGAATGCATCTATCGATTACTCATGTATCGAATGATTTACACACACAAAAAAAATTATATTGACAATTGTGATTTGGAATACTTAAATTTGAATATTTTTCTCATTATTACTTGATTTCATCCAGTTTTTTTCCTCGGTTTCCCTCTCTCGAAAGGTCAAGAAATGCATCATTGAGTGCACTCTCAGGCAAGGGATGAGAACGTCTGCTTACGTAACCCGATGTCTGAATTAATTTATTTTTGAAGAAATTAAAACGAGTTTTACTACAAATTTTTAATCTCAATGATTACTTATTTTATACGTCCATCATTTTTTTTTTGTGTGTATGTAAAGGCATCATCATGTATTTCAGTTATTGGGTAAATAGTTATTTAGAACATGAGGTTTCGAGGTCATTAGATGGAAGGGATATGAATATTTAAAAGAATAAAAAAAATCGATATTTAAGTTTAATTTTTATCAAAAGGCAATACTGAATTAAATAATCGTTTCGGTTAATGGTATTAATATTAGTTAATAAGGTTAATTGAACTTCCATTTCCGTTTTTCAAGCTTCCAGTCGAAAAANGTACTAGCAAACATATGAACTCGAGTAGGTCAGCATAGTTGACGTTTTCAAGGCAGGGTACGTCGCTCCAGGCAGTTTTCACAAATCAGGTCAACAACTCTGCTCAACGTTAAACACACACGCTCACATACACATACGGACAGACATACACACGTAACTGCTAGCGAAAGAAGCAGTACATTTCTAGTTGGTTGGATTAATTGTGAATGCGCGCTCTTCAAGGACACATTTTCGACGAAAACAATTAAAAATTAATAATAGTATATCAGGCAACGTTCATAATTACTAAGGACACAATGATTTGGACGTGTTTAGTCGACAAAATTAACTTTTTTAAGTTGTTGTATCTACAAATGTGTGATATATGATATAAAGGATAACAGGAACTGTATCAGGAATTCAGGTATGACCTTTATAAATAATTGTGTTAGTTTAAATTAACGAGAGAATGAATGAGTAATTAAGTTTATTTATTGTCGTGTTTAATTTCTTTATTTTTACACAAATCAAATTAAATTTTAATTTTTTAAAAATAATTTTGCGCGGAAGATAATTAAGAGTTAATTACGTAATATCCCAGTTAGCATAATGTATAATAATGATGTAAATAATTCCGTTATATATTACGTAAGACGAAGAGAAAAAAATGAAGGAGAATCCGGTTCTAATAATTTACATTCGAACATTTAACATGAAGCAATTTGTCTACCTCCCTTTTTCCTCAATTAAAACTCTATTAAAGTGTTTTTAATTGTTTCTTCGTTCAATACGTATATTAGTTAATAAAATATGGAAAATTATCCTTTATATATGCTGAAAAAATAGGAAATTTTCTTCGTTTATTTTCATTCATCGAGGTGTATCTCTTGACATGTGAAACGAAGTCACCCATCCACACAACAATGAGGACAGTCTGTATGCAATTATACATTTTAAAGCAATAAATTAAAAAGTGGAAATTAATTTTAAATAAATAAATAAACAATGAAATTTCTACATTTTAAGTTGGTTATTGATAAAAAGTATTGTATAATAATAAAGGAGACCTTTTGAGTTTACAGCACCATAAATGCTTACATTTTTCTATATTTATACAGTGACCATGCACGATTTTTTTACAGATCAGTGCTTTAACTAAACATCGGAATTCCTTAGCAATGTTAATATATATATACACTGTATAAGCCCTGTCGAAGCGAGAAGAATGATTTCGAGTCACCCTCTTTCTTCTATAAAATATTATGTAATATAGGATAATATGTCATTGATCTTTATAATACTCTTGTGTTTATTAAATACCTTTTTACATAAATTAAAAAATAAATAAATAAAACAGGATATAGTAATTACAATTAATTAATTTCTGTCTCTCTAAATCTTCAAATTTTTAATTGTAATTTTTTCCCCTGTAAATTAATTAATTAACTCGACTGTAAACTGGTTTAATAATAAATTTTGTGTGTTTGTACGTTCCCTGTAAAACTGTGAATTATTATTATTATTATTATTATTATATAAGTTGTGTAGAAGAAAGAAGGGTGTAAAAGCCTTTAAGGGGATTTGAAATCGAGGACGGGATTTTAGTTTTAATTGTGATCTAAATCTACTTTTGACATTTAATTTTTTATATAAATATATTTAAAAAAATCTGTCACATTTAATTAACATAAAACTCTAATGATGTCGTCTAATTAAATGTAGGGAAAATGCATTTTTAAATTTGAAACGTAATTAGTGGCAGATTTTACTGGTTTTTTCCCAATTTCTGCTGTAGAGAAACCTGTTAAAAACGAATAAAAANTGTCACATTTAATTAACATAAAACTCTAATGATGTCGTCTAATTAAATGTAGGGAAAATGCATTTTTAAATTTGAAACGTAATTAGTGGCAGATTTTACTGGTTTTTTCCCAATTTCTGCTGTAGAGAAACCTGTTAAAAACGAATAAAAAGGAGGGGGATAAAGTATTAACACGTAGGAAAGAATCAGGAAAGATTGGGAATAAAATAGGTTTACCTCCAACTTCGGTATGTACTAGCAAACATATGAACTCGAGTAGGTCAGCATAGTTGACGTTTTCAAGGCAGGGTACGTCGCTCCAGGCAGTTTTCACAAATCAGGTCAACAACTCTGCTCAACGTTAAACACACACGCTCACATACACATACGGACAGACA